ATATATAATTAACAGGAAGACCCAACTCATCCCTCCTCCCACTCAAATAAGGTGTTGATGCATGTTGTTATATAGTTCATTTAAAATGGGGGGGATGAGGCGGCGACCGGCACAGACCCACCCCCTCCCCAGAGAGCAGGCAGTGCCCGTTCACCTCCCCAACCCTTGCCCAGAACCCTAAATGTCTACATGCTACATATGAGAGTGGGCACAGGTCCCGGAGGTGAGAATGATTACACATCCCACCACCTATATGCCCCCGTGTGCCCACTCCAGACCCTATATATGCATGTGTCGTGAGAATGTTATATGTGAGTGCCTAGGTTTTTTAATAAAATTGGGGCCCAGGTCTCCACGTACCATGGAGATGGAGGATCCTCCCCGTAGCTCAGTAGTGCACCTGAACCCCAAGGCCCTGCTTGAGTGGTGGTGTGATGGAGTGGGTGGAGGAAGTCGTCAGGATGGGGAGGAAGAACTGAGGTGGCAATGCCCTCCCAGGGGGCCAGCTCCCCCACTCCCCCAATAGGCACCCCCATTCTCCGAGATCTACTAGGGGAGGGAGTTTAATGTGAGGTCTACTTCCCCCTGTCACTCTGCCCTGCCGCCGGTGCATTGGTGGCTCTCGGCATCTGGGGCTGGGTGGTGGGGTGTGTGCCGGCCCGCCCTGGTGGCTGCCTGCCGGGGCCTGGGTGCCCTGGCTCTGTCGGGCCTCTGTTTGGGGGGTGGTACGGCCTAGGGACTCGCGGCTTGGTGTCCATGGCCGGATCTACTCTGGAGGGGCGGGTTGTTGGCGGAGCCTGTGGACTCGTCGCTGCAGCCTCCTGGGTATTCTGCATTGTGGTTGCTGGGGATCAACCGGGGGTTCTGCTTCTCTCTGGGGGGTGGGGGGTGCAGTTGTCCTTGTTGCGGGACTCCTGGGGCACCAGGCTTGGGGGCCGCTGTGTGTCTGTGGCTCCGGTCTTCCCTGTGTTGCCATCGTGTCCTGTGGGGACGGGTCTGTGGGTCCCCACATCCACTATTGAACATTTTTATGGAGAAACCTTATAGTAACAAGAATGCTCACACAGGTGTTTAGATCCAGGTGTTCATCAGATACACACTCAGTTGGGTTGTGGTGGCCACTAAATATATCTTGTATTACCATGTACTGTATAAAATACTTTCTAATGATGTTATAAGTATCATTATATAAGTTGTTTGTTGTTGTGCTTTCTTGGTTTTGTCTTTTTTTCTTCTTTCCGCAGGTCTAGAGTCAGACTTCAATGATGTTAATTTGTGTTCTCTTTATACCTCTCTCTCTCCTCTATTCCTATCTCCTTCTTTACCTTTTAACACTTCTCTCACTTTTCTGCTTTGTTATCTTCTTTGTTTTTCATCCCCATGTCCATTACATCTGAAACAAACCCAAAGCAAATTTTATTAATATTTAATTTATATATCAAGCAGAGCATTGAGGCCATAATGCTCTGCTTGTGAAAGTAAATCTGTTGGGCTTCACTTTGACTCTCAGACAATAATTCTGAGTGTCATAATGTCGGACAGGACATTGGAGGAAAAAAATTAATTAATTAATTTAACTCCCATCATGATCCACCTGAGACTTACATGCAGATGTTTGAACTGTTGAAAACTGGAACAGGTTTGATAAAAACTGTAACAAGGATTAAAACCATTGTTACCAGTGGACCTGCTGCCGCTGAAGAATGGGTCAATATTGAACATAATATGTACAAGATGGAGAAAAGTATTTTATTTCTCAGGTCGAATAAAAAAATACATTTTATGAGTTCTGGTAAATGAAACTGAGTTTGTAGCGTAAAACATGGAATATGAATTTATTTTTAACCCACTATCTTTATCTTTATTTATGTTAAACTCTGGGAATTTCTTCTTTTATAAAAACAAAAAAAAACTTTCTGAGGGACGTCTCTTAACAGAAATTATATTTTATAAAAAAGTTCAGACTTTTCCCTTAAAGGATCGAAGTTTCAGCAAATCCAAGCCGCCGATGATTTTTCTTTGTTTTTCAGTAAAAATTAAAGAAATGGTTTCATAAACATGAAGTCTGACCTTTGACCCCAAAGATCACCCAGAGGCTGGTAGGGAGGGGGAGATGCTTTGAACCCCCACCCCCCAACCATGACATCTGAAGACTCTGTGTGCATTGTGGGAAATGACTGAACGTGTGGCGGCCTGCAGAGACCCCCCAACACACACCTCCCCCTCAAAGCTCACCTGCAACAACAAAGGAGGAGGAGGTGTGTGTGTGTGTGGGGGGGGGGGGGGGTGAGGAATGTCTTTGTCTGCTGAGTCCTGTTGGGAGTGAGGGGGCAGTGGAGAAGAGCTTCTCTATATCCTTTAGAATGAAAGTTCGTTTTTACTTCAAACTTCTACTGCTCTGAGTCGTTCAGAAAACCCAGAGAACGACCAGAACCACAACCAAGAAGGAACGGAATCAAAGAACCAGAACCAAGAAGGAACCGATTCAAAGAACAAGAAGGAACAGAATCAAAGAACCAGTACCAAGAAGGAACCGATTCAAAGAACAAGAACCAAGAAGGAACCGAATCAAAGAACAAGAACCAAGAAGGAACCGATTCAAAGAATTAGAACAAGAAGGAACAGAGTCAAAGAACAAGAACAAGAAGGAACTGAGTCAAAGAATCAGAACCAAGGAGGAACAGATTCAAAAAATCAGAGCGGATTGGAGCAGATGATGAGCAGAACCAACCATTTTTCACAAGTGGTTCTCAGAGTCTGGACCTGCGAACTTTACTTGTTGTTTATTGACTTTTAGTTTCTGCTCATCTGTCCCGTCCGTGTGGTCTGGTACCCTGACAGTCCGGATGTGGGCTGGAGCTGGTGGATCCCAGGAGGAGGAGCTCTGAAGCCTCAGGGGGGTCTGAGGGTCCAGAGTCAGACGAACGGTGACCGAACGGTGCAGGGTCTGGCTCCGAGGTTCGGGGGCTCGCTACAAGTTTTATCCGAGGTTTGGATCTGGAACCGGATCATGCTTCAGCTCCAGCTCGCGGTGCTGCTCGGTGAGTCCAAGGTTCTTCTGCAGAACCTTTGAAGAACTTAAAAGGAAACCAGAGATCCTGACCAGCGGCATGTTCTCTAGATTCAGTTCTTTATGAAATCAGAACCGCCTGGATCCTGAAAGAGCCGCGTTTAACCTCAAACACAAATAAAATTAAAAATAAGAATAAATTAAATATTCAAAAAATAAATCAATGAAATAAACTCAGGTGGACTCTAATGATCTGTTAAAGTTTGACCAGTTAAATCCGACCTGAGATCAGTCTGATGGAGGAGAAGCTGCTCACATTTAACTTCTACCAATCCTTGAAGGAATGCTTGTCGCCCGCTGCCTTTTAATTCGAGATGGCCGCCAAATCCAAAACTCAAAAAACGTGTTAATGCTCAGAGGCTGTGTTAAGAAAGACCTCCAGCTTCTACCACATAAATATTATGCCTGATTATCTGTTATTTTAAATAAATTATAGCCATTTTTTGTGTTAGCAAAGGTAGATTAGGTGTGGCGGCCATCTTTGGTTAACTCTAAATGTTAGTAGTAGATGTAGGGCCTACTTCTAATGACTGTTTTCTAAAAGTCATCAAAATCAGCCCAATGACTCAAGATATTTTGCTAACAGACAGTAAAATGAACAGTGTTGTGTTTAGAGTTTCTCAGTGACACTGATGAAGAAGAAATACTGAGTATTGTAAAAAAAAAAAATCTTGCAGATAAAAATCAAGACTGGATGGACATGATGTTTGGAAAGGATACAATGAGTTATGTTATTGAACCATTTATACAATTTATCATTTTCAACAAGGAAATTTCCAGAAAATATGAAAATAGCAAAGATAGTTCCTCTTTATAAGAATGGTGAGAAATGTGTGTTCGCTAATTACAGGCCAATATTCTTGTTGCCACTATTTTCAAAAATATTATAGAAATTATTTGTAACCAGGTAAGATCGATTTATAGATAAACAGAACATTTTAAGTAATAGTCAATGTGGGTTTAGAGCAAATAATTCAACGTCATTGTCTCACATGGGGGCAGCACGGTGACGCAACTGGTAGAGCTGCTGCCTCTCAGCGAGCAGGTCCCCGGTTCAAACCCCGGTCCAGGGGCCTTTCTGGGTGGAGTTTGCATGTTCTCTCCGTGCATGCGTGGGTTTTCTCCGGGTCCTCCGGTTTCCTCCCACAGACCAAAAAACATGCATGTTAGGCTGATTGGTAACTCTAAATTGTCCCTAGGTGAGAGTGAATGGTTGTTTGTCTCATTTGTCTCTATGTGGCCCTGTGATGGACTTGCGACCCGTCCGGGGTGTACCCCGCCCCTCGCACAGTGATTGCTGGACATGGGCACCAGTGACCCCCCTGACCCAAAATGGTATAAGCGGGTAAAGATAATGGATGGATGGATGGATGTCTCTCATGGAACTAATACAAGAGATAGCAACTGCTGTTGATCAAGAACAGTATTGTGTTAGCGTTTCTTTTGATTTATAAACAGCCTTCAACACTATTGACCACACCATTCTCCCTGAAAAACTGAATAAATATGGCATTAGAGGATTAGCACTAGAGTGAGTATCCAGTTATTTGAATAATAGGATACATTTTGTACAGGTAAACAAATCTATAAATCTGAATTTTGTGTTACTGGATGTGGAGTCCCTCAAGGCTCTGTGTTGGGACCAAAGTTGTTTATTTTGTATGTGAATAATCTGGTTGATGTGTCAGGGCTTTTGAAGTAAAAATAATTAATAATAATTTATTCAATTTGTACTGCACTTTACATTTTACAATCTCAATGTGCTACAATATAAAACATCTAAAGCGAATAAAACATGGACTAAAAAAGGACTAAAAATTTTAAACGCTAAAAAACAAACAAAAAGAACAACTGCAGGATTGAAAATACCTTTAAACACTAGAACATATTTTAAATTAAAAGATCTTCAGTCCTTTCTTAAAACTTTCTGTAGTCTGGAGTATCCTTAGATTGTTGAGGAGGTTGTTCCACAGACAAGGAGCAGCAGAGCAAAAATCTCTGTCATCTATCGTGCACAGTTTTGTTTGGGGAGGGCAGAGCTGGTAGGAATTTGTTGAGCGGAGGGATCGTGTTAATGTCTAAGCAGTGAGCAATTCTTTAAGATAATGTGAAGCATTGCCGTGAATGGATTGGTGGGTGAGTAAGGAAACCTTGTATTCAATACGGCGTGAAATGGGAAGCCAATGCAGGGATTTAAGGATTGGGGTGATGTGATCATGTTTCCTTTGCTTCATCAGAATCCTGGCTGCACTGTTCTGTACATATTGAAGTTTTTGAATGTGCTTAGATGAAATTCCATAGAAAAGTGCATTGCAGTAGTCCAGTCTTGAGGAGACGAAAGCATGGACAAGTTTTTCAGCATCGGAAAAGGAGAGTAATGGATGGAGTTTGGAGATGTTTTTCAGATGAAAGAATGAAGTCTTGCAAATGTTTTTAATATGGGATTCAAATGTAAGATGAGAATCAAATCTTACAGATTAGTCACTGTATCAGCAAAGGGAATGTTTTGGCCAGGGAAGTTTATGGTAGATGTTGAGTGAGTCTGATGTGGGGTACCAACCAAAACAGCTTCTGTTTTAGATGTGTTTAATTGGAGAAAGTTGGTGTTCAGCCAGGCTTTTACCTCTTCAATACAGGTGGTGAGAGAGGAGAGTGATGAACCTGTAGAATATATTTTGATATAGAGCTGCAAGTCATCTGCATAACAATGAAAAGAGATCCTGTGGTGAGTGATAATGTGACAGAGGGGAGGATGTAGAGGGTAAATAATGTGGGCCCAAGGACTGACCCCTGAGGAACACCACAGTGAGTCCGAGATCTTGCTTCCCCAATGGAGACATACTCAGATCTGTCTGAGAGGTAAGAGCAGAACCATTCCAGAGCTGTCTCAGTCAGTCCTGCAGTGTGTTGTAGGCGGTGGAGTAGGATGCCATGATCCACAGTATCAAAAGTTGAGCTCAAGTCCAGGAGGATCAGAAGGGAGGGAGAACCAGCATCAGCTGCCATCAGAAGGTTATGACCCTGACCAGAGCTGTTTCCGTGCTATGAGCTGAACGAAAGGCGGACTGGAATACCTCATATGCCCCTTTTGCACTGTCCCTAATCTGCCCCAACTCTGCTCAGCCCTGCACACCCCTACTCAGCCTGGCTCAGCTCAGCCTGGATTTGCACCTGCACTTAAGGACTGATTCTGGAGGCGTGTCCAGAAGAGTTCTGCTATGAGTTACTCAAAGCAGTCTGCTCCTCAGATAAATAAGATAAAATTATTATTTGTATATATGAATGTTTCTGTTAACTTATTTTATATTTCTTTTTTTTTCCAACCTTTATTTGGACAGGTAAATCCCATTGAGCCTCGAGGACTCATTTACAAGAGACCTGAATTCAACAAAGAATGATGAC